GTCTGTGAATTGTGGGGAGAAGAGAGGAGGCTCTTGGGGAATGTCTTTAATTTTTTCAGTGAAATAGATTGCAAAGGGGAAAGTGAAGAGAGGGTGTGGGACAGGAGTTATGGGAAATTTGAGAATGGATGAAAAATCTGGAAGAGCAGCTGTGGTATAATAATGAATCAGTTAGGGAGGGGTAAAAAGGTTGCCTTGCTTTATTGAGCCCACAGTTGAGATTATGTATTATAAATTTGTAGTGGGTCCAGTCAGCATGGTTCTGTGATTTTCTCCGGCTTTTTTTTAGCAGCATGTGATTAGAAGTGAAGGGAGCAGATGGTGGAAGTAATCTAGGACTGAGAGTTGGAAAGATTGGTGATGTTATAAGGGGGGAGAATCAAGAGAAGAAGAGAGTGTAGAGTTGAAGTGGTCCATCAAAGGGTCAGGTCAGGAAAGGGAGGACAATAATGCAGGGGAAGTATCCTAGGAAAGAACTAATGCGTTGAAATATTGGAGGTGTCAGTGAAGACGAAGAGTGGGGTTTGAGGTTACAAGTTAGAGGGAAAGGTGAAATGAAAGAAGATTGTGATTAGGTTAGAAAAGTTAAGAGTTCACAAACACAGAAGTGGAACGAACACTTGTGGGTAATGGCAAGATCAAGGGTATGACTATTTTTGGTTGTGACTGAACTAAGGTAGAGAAATTAGTCATAGGAAATTAATAAATTGAGGAACTAGGAGGATAGGACGTTTAGGACAGTATAGGTATATATCTTGAAATACCCTAGAATGCAGGCAGAGATTGGAGAGGAGAGAAAGACCATGGGCCTGACAGAAACAGGTGTCTTAGAGGTCAGTAGATAACTGCTACCAGAATTGTGATTGGGTGGTTAAATATAGATGTAGTGAACTTCAAGAGAAGAAAGGTGATGCAGGTAGAAGGGAGAGTCTGAAAGTGGTGATGGGGAACGAGGAATTTTCTGAATACCCCATCTTGACCTGTGAGTCAGGGGTTCTGAATAAAAATATAAACACTGCTGCAAAGGATAGACAGGATGTCTGTGTTATGTCATCAGGAAGAAACCAGGTGTCGATGAGTGCAAGAAGATTGGAGGAATGGGGAAGGAAAAGATTTAAAGTGAAAGCAATTTGGGGCTGGAGGGATGGATTGCTTCAGAGTGGGACATTGGGAAAATAACTTTAGTCAATTACTCCCCTTTAAAATTTTCTTTTATTCTTTTTCTTTAATTAATTTATATATTTTTAGTTTTCAACATTCACTTCCACAAGATTTTGAGTTCCAAATTTTCTCCCCATATCATCCCTTCCCCCATCCCAAGATGGCATGCATTCTGAATACCCCTTCTCCTGATCTGCCCACCTTTCTATCTCCCTCCCTTCTCCTATCCTCTTTCCCTTCTATTTTCTTATAGGGCAGGATGGATTTCTATACCCCATTGCCTGTGTATCTTATTTCCCAGTTGCATGTGAAAACAATTTTTAACATTTGTTTTTAAAACTTTGGGTTCCAAAATTTCTCCCTTGCTGCCTCCTTCCCTCCCCACCCACCCTTATTTAGAAGGCAAGCAACTCGATACAGGTTATAAATGTGTAGTCATGCAAAACACTTCCATAGTAGTGACGTTGTGAAAAACTAACTATATTTCCCTTCATCCTATCCCATCCCCCATTTATTCTCGTCTCTCTTTTGACCCTGTCCCTCATTAGAAGTGTTTGCTTCTGATTACCCCCTTCCCCAATCTGCCCTCCCCTCTATCATCCCTCTGATCTCTTATCCCCTTCTCCCTTATTTTCCTATAGGGTAAGATAGATTTCCATACCCAATTGAGTGTGTATCGTATTCCCTCCTTAAGCCAAATCCTATGAGAATAATATTCACTCATTCCCTCTCACCTTCCCCCACTTCCCCTCCACCATAAAAGCCTTTTCTTGTCTGTTTTATGTGAGATAATTTACCCCATTCTACCTCTCCCTTTCGCTTCTTCCGGGATAATCTCTCTTAACCCTTAATATTATTCTCCAGATATCACCCCTACATCTTCAACTCACCCTGTGCCCTCTATCTATATATATATATATATATATACATATACATATATACACACACACACATACATATATACACACACACACACATACATATAATTTTTCCCTCCAACTACCCTAATACTGACAAAGGACTCATGAGTTACAAATATCATCTTTCCAAGCAGGAATGTAAACAGTTCAACCTTAATAAGTCCTTTATGATTTCTCTTTCCTGTTTACTTCTTCATGTTTCTCTTGAGTCTTGTATTTGAAAGTCAAATTTTCTATTCAGCTCTATTCTTTTCCTCAGGAATGCTTGAAAGTCTCCTGTTTCATTGAATGACTATTTTTTACCCTGAAGGATTATACTCAGTTTTTCTGAGTAAATGATTCTTGGTTGTAATCCTATCTCCTCAGGAATATCATATTCCAAGCCTTCCTGTTCCTTATTGTAGAAGCTGCTAAATCTTGTGTTATTCTGACTGTGTTTCCACAATACTTGAATTGTTTCTTTCTGGTTGCTTGCAATATTTTCTCCTTGACTGGGAACTCTGGAATTTGGCTACAATATTCTTAGGAGTTTTTCCTTTGGGGATCTCTTTCAGGAGGTGATCAGTGGATTCTTTCCACTTCTATTTTGCCCTCTGGTTCTAGAATATCAAGGCAGTTTTCCTTGATAATTTCTTAAATGATGTCTAGACTCTTTTTTTGATCATGGCTTTCAGATAGTCCAATAATTTTTAAATTATCTCTCCTGGATCTATTTTCCAGGTCAATTGGTTTTCCAATGAAATTTTTACATTGTTTTCTATTTTTTCATTCTTTTGGTTTTGTTTTACGATGTCTTGATTTTTTGTAAAGTCATTGGCTTCCATTTGCTCCATTCTAATTTTTAAGGAAGTATTTTCTTCAGTGACCTTTGGACTTCCTTTTCCATTTGGCCAATTCTGCTTTTTAAGGCATTCTTCTCCACACTGACTTTTTAGAACTCTTTTGCCATTTTGGTTAGGTTATTTTTTAAGGTGTTATTTTCTTCAACATTTTTTTGGGCCTCCTTTAGCAAGCTGTTGACTTGTTTTTCATGATTTTCTTGCATCACTTTTATTTCTCTTCCCAGTTTTTTCTCTACTTCTCCTACTTGCTTCTCAGAATCCTTTTTGAGCTCTTCCATGGCCTGGGACTGATTCGTATTTTTCTTGGAGGCTTTGGATGTAAGAGCTTTGACTTTGTTGTCTTCTTCTGGTTGTATACTTTGATCTTCTTTGTCACCAAAGAAAGAGTCTATGGTCTGACTTATTTTGCACAGTTTGCTCATGATCCCAGCCAATTACTTGAGTTATAAACTCTGTTAAGGTAAGGATCTGCTTCCATTGTGTAGAATGTACTGTCCCAAGCTTTGGGGGTTTTGTGCAGCTGTTTTCAGAGATACTTGTAGGGACCTGTAAATTTTCAGTTCTTCTAAGGTGGTATGATCGAGGGGCAAGGTGTTTACTCCTTTCCTGACCTGAGCTCTGGTCTATGAGTGACCACAAGCACTCTTTTCTGTCTTGGAACTGTGAGGGGGATTTCCTCTTCACCACTACTATAAGCTCCACCATGCCAGCACTTCTCCTTGCCCCAGGATCGTCACCCAGAACTGTGACCCAGATCCAAGCATGGGCAAAGCAAGAGAATCCTGCCTCAGCACCAGCAAAGAGATCCCTGCAATCCCCCTCTGCTCAGCCACTCGATTCCCCCTCAGTCTGTGGGCCAGAAGCTTAGGAAGCAGCTGCCACCACAGGAATGTAGCTGGCACTGGGGCTGGGACCAACCTTCTTTCTCACTATGGTCACAGACCTTTTCTACTGACCTTCTAAGGTATCTTTGGCATTTGTGGGTTGAGAAGTCTGGAAAATGCCACAGCTGCCTGTGATTCAGTCGTCTGAGGCCTGCTCCAGGTTTGCTGAGGCCTGCTTTTCTTGCATGCCCACGCTGAACTGCGTTCCTCTCCCAGCCTGGCGCAATAGACCTTTCCTATCAACCCTCCAGGTCGTCTTAGGCTGGAAATTTGTTTCACTCTTTTTGTGGGTTCTGCTGTTTTAGAATTTGTTTAGAGCCATTTTTTACAGATATTTGGAGGGTTTTGGGGGAGAGCTTAAGCAAGTCACTGCTTTTACTCCGCCATCTTGGCTCCACCTTTCTTAATCATAAGGTAGACCTATAAGGTTATCTCTGCTGCGTTCATTAGAAAACCTTATATGATTTTAGCATATTACATGGGTTATACTTTATTATATACTTTTATATATTATACTATACTTCATTATATACTTTTATATACATTATGCTATATATATAATATATAATTACCTATATTGTATACTTTCAAAATTGCATTTTGCTCCACTAAATCAAATGCTGTTTTAGAGTCAAAAGAATAAGCACAGTGGAATCTTGTATTCTATTCACCTTTCCATCAGTTGTGTGACTATAAAGATGTGGTCTGTTATGGATTATCATTCCAAATGCCTGCCTCTTCATTGGGGCAGCTGGGTGGCACAATGGATAGAGTGCCAAGCCCGAAGTCAGGAAGACTCATATTCCTGAATTCAAATTTTCCTCAGACACTTACTAGCTATGTGACCCTGGACAAGTCACTTAACCCTGTTTGCTTCAGTTTCCTCATCTGTAAAATGATCTGGAGAAGGAAATGGCAAATTACTCCAGTCAGTATTTTTGAAGAAAATCCCAAATGTGGTTACAAAAGAATCAGGCATGACTGAAACAAGTGAACAACAACAAAAACCTCTTCTCTTGTCATATTTTGTCAAGGATGCCCTTGATAAGGTGTAGATTATTCTAACAAAGATTTTGTAGAGGTGAGAAATTAGATATATCAATTGGTAGCTATTACTATCCTCTGAGTTGTTTTCTAAGCAATAATAAATATTTTTAATTTTTCCAGTAATTTACCTCTTCTCTTATTTTCAGATATCTTAAAAATCCATCTTTTCACAACGTCAAGAGGAGATTGTCTCTTTGAAAGCTGGACTAGACAAAGTATATGTAGAAGAGGTTCATGCAGAAGGTAACACAGTGAACTTTACAGGTTGTCCTCAGCTTTTCTTTCCAATCTTATCTCCTAATGCCACCCTCCACAAACCTTTTGCTTTTGACTGTCTGGTTTATTCTGTATCCCCCAAACACATCTTCCTTCTTTGGTTTTCACTTTCAGGGTACAAGGTGAGGAGATAGGGGCAGGATAAATCATTTTAGAAAGCTAAAACTGGATTAACCAACATTCAGGGTTAGGTGGAACCTAATTATATAAGGGCCCTTCTAATTCCACAATCTTAAGAACTACTCCCAAGATTCTGTGCCTCGTAAATTAATTCAACTCACACATTTAAGTCTTGGGTTGTATGAGTTCAAAACTGTAGACCTTCAGGCATCCATCACTTTATAATAGGTATACCCATTTCCTTCAACGAAGATGATGGCTGTTTTAGTGTTGCCATGCACTTTAAGTGGTCACAGCTGGTCTCTGTACAATTCAATATGGAGTCATGACTGAGAGGGTCAGGGCTAGCATCCATTCTTTTTAAGGCATTGAACCCTCCTTCCGGGATCTACCATTTAGGGGACTAGCTGTGATACCAAGCCTACAGTGTGGCAGTGTAGATAGTCATGCATTTGGAAGTGTATGAGTCATAAATTTAGTTTTAAATGGCCACCTTACAGGTAATTTTTAGTTTGTCAACATATCCTAGGATAGAAGCTATGGCAGTGTAGCAAGAATGACCCTGCATTTATAGTTAGAACTGGAATTCCAGAGCAGCTGCTTAGTGACCTTGGGCAAATGTCTCATCTATCTGGGACTCACTGTCTTCAGCTGTAAAACTAGGAGTTTGTATTTGAAGAGAAATATTCCTTCTGGCTTTAACGCCTATGAACCTCTAATTTTCAAATGCAAGATATCATGCTCTTAAAGACTTTTAATATCTGATTCTCCTACATCCTCTTCTCCTCCCCGACTGCCATAGGTTATACGCACTATATTCCTAACCTGAGCTTCTTTCCATGTATCTTGACTTGTCATTTTTGTGTAATGTGTCAGTAATGATGCTTTTTACACTGATGGGAGAAGGGCCAAAGTCTGAGAAGGTCCTCAAATGCCTTCTAAAAAGAGTTCCCTTTATAACTTTAAAAACCCTCTGAGACAGATGATGATACAATCATTTTACAAATTGGTGGCTGAGAAATTCAGTGACTGACCAGAGTTATAGTGTGATGTTTTGGGGTTTTTTTTGCAGTGCTCTAGAAATAACTTTATTCTTCAAGTCCAGCTGCTAGACTAGACATAAACTTTAGAGAATTTGGACTCTTTGATGTGGGTGAGTACTTCCCTCTTAGGTCACAGATCTATACCTTATCTATCTGAGGCAGCTACATGGTACAGAGGATAGAACTCTGGGCCTGGAGTGAGGAAGACCTCAGTTCAGATCTGCCTTATACATGTGCAGACTGTGTAACCCTGGGCAAGTCATTTTACCTCTTTTTGCCTCGGTTTCCTGAGCTATAAAATGGGGATAAGAATTGCACCTGCCTCATAGGATTTCTACGGGGATAAAGTCTGATAACATGTGCAAAATGCCTGCCCAATAGTAAGTGTTGTATACATACTTCTTGTTGTTATTGTTATCGTCATCATAGTATTATTCCATCTTACCTTATGTTGCTTTCCTCCATGCCCCCCATGGTGGGTCTTATCAGTGCCCCAGGGGGACCTTTTTGGGGTCTTTCAACATCACTTGAGTACAAAGGTAGCACGCCAGCTCTCCATCAGTTATCCCTCAGTTCGTGCATGGCCAGACCACTTCCTTTTCTGATATGTTAATTTTTTTGTTTAGATTTGTGATTTTATTAGCGTAGGTAAATCCTGATGTGGAAACTTCTTTTTCCAAGGCAGATCATCAAATCTTCTGTGACTTTTTAGTCTTAAGCAAGGTGCCTGGCACAAGGAGCTGAGATTTGCCTGGGTTTACAGAGCTAATTCGTGTCAGAGGCACTTCTTAAACATCGATGTTTCTAACTCTGAGCCTGGTCTTCTCCCCACTCCCTAAGATACCAGAGTTATTTTCCTTACATAAGCAGCATGTAAGCATCTACCTCTAAAGGTCCTATTGATTTCACTGTTTGTATTTGCTTTGGAATGGATCATGTGATGTTTTGGCAGCATCTTGTTATTCTAATTATGTTTTGTTTGGCAGATGTCAGAGTTTATTTGAGTTCTTTGAGCAAGTACAACCAGCTGGTTGGGAAGGTAGCTTGGAGTGCGTTGGGGGACAGAGTAGGAAAGTCAGTTTGCATAAAAATGTAGTGCTTGCAGTTATTAAAAACTTTTTTTATGACAGAAAGCTGCAAGGTAGCTCAGATAGGGTATGTTTTAACTGTATGTCCTATTGATTTGTTAATTCTTGAACATATTCTGCATCTTTTAATAAATGTTGATAAAGATTTATTTATCAGTCAATCCTTTATTATATAATCATTCACTTTTTTAGAGGCTGTCATAAAGTGGTTTGCTGTTGAATGTTTAACAACTGACTCAAAAAAATACATGTATATCTAATGTCACAAGATTATCATAAATTTTACTAAGTAACACATAATGTACAAATAATAATAAAATATATAAAACTCTTTATTATAAATTCCATAAAGACACTGATTCTCACAAAATGCTTTTGTTGATTTTTTTTTTGGTGAACTCTTGTATCTGTAGCCAACCTATGGTTGCAATTCAACCTTGATATAACAAATGGAGTTCCATCCCAGTTAAGTTTTTTCCCAATTTATTACCATTAAGTCTGAGATGACATCTACCATTGAAGTATTTCTTACCCTGGTACAGTTTATATTCATTAACCTGAAACCTCTTTCAACCTCATCATGGTTAATGGGAGTAGTACTAACTAACTTTTTAGCTTTTTGTATAGTTGTAGGGATTGGAACATTGAGTCTATATTTTTATCTGCAAAATCTTAAAAATTGTTCATATCAATTTCTTGTTTCAAAATTTCACTTAAGTGATGTAGGGTTTTTTTTTTTACCCCTATATATATCAGCTATATACATAGTCTATACCCACTATATACCAGCTATATACATGGCATATACCCAGTATATACCAGCTATTGATACATGGCATATATCCAGTATATACCGGCTATTGATACATGGCATATACCCAGTATATACCAGCTATTGATACATGGCATATATCTAGTATATACCGGCTATTGATACATGGTATATACCCAGTATATACCAGCTATATGCAGGTGAAATTAGTTCTTCACAAGGCTAGGTAGATAATAAAATCAAAATTTTAAATGTTTTAATAATTTCTATCTGATAAAAGATATAAGTCCATGTTTTGAATTCTGTTTTCTAGTAACATTCTTAGGAAGAGCATTAGATATATTATTTTTATTCAATGAGGTATCATTAAACTTATTTGACTTAATCAGATCTTCAGCTTGAGATTCATGGTTTCCAGTATCAATCTTTAAATTCTCCCAAACTCTCATGGAACATTTGATTTTTATGCTTTCTGAATGTTAGCTAATTTTGACTGTAATGCAGCTGACTTCTTTAGGAATGTCAGTCACTAAGGCAAGGTGTTAAAAGAAGTTAATGTTCGCTAATCTCTTTGCCAAATCAGAATAAGAAGAATGAGAAAAATGCATGTAGAGTATGGGCTATGCACAGTATACCGAAGTAGCAGTTTATAAAGTACACACCACCCATCTTGGTCCTACACTCAACCAATATTAATAATTTTCATTTCAGGTTCTTTAGTTTCTCACTTGGTTGGTTTTTTATTAGATTGGCAAAAATAGAATATGTTTTATCTAGAAATATTCAGAATTGTCATAATTGATCAATTGAATAATTGATAATTGAATCAATTGATTTAAAATAGTGCCAAATAATGACCTTAGGAAAATTTTCTAATAACTTTGTGGCTACTCCAGAATTTATCCCCCAATATGTATTAACACCATCAGAACAAAATTCAATAGTTTACTTTCAGATATTCAATATTAAAGTCATAGTTATTTAACGTATACAATAACACATTGAAAACACACTCTGCTGTGCTTGATTAACAACAATGCTTTCATGCCAACAAATAACATTGCTGGCATAGGAACTGGTTGAACTTTGCACCAAATTCCTGAAAATTTAGCAATTTGTTTTCATGAGCCAGTAGGGGCTGACTCCAGCACAATGTTCTGTCATTCTACCCTGAATTACCAAATATTATTTTGCTTCAAAAGTAAATTAGAAATTGTTTTAGATATTTAGGAATATCTAAAGTCAATGTAGCTAAATACCATGATGTTCCATTTTGTTTCCCTAAATTGATTTACCTTGGGGCTCTTTGTATATTTGCCTAACAAATTACATTTCCAAGTTTTGATGTTATAGAACTAGTCATTTTAATCTACCCATTTACATAGACTGGAATTAATTTTTTAATAGAAGTTACCCCTCAGTTTTGTAACCCAGGAATATTGCTTATTTCACTCTTAATTAATATCCTAAATCTTTCAAGGGCTAGGGTGCTTTTCTCTATAGTATTTTTTAGTACGAAAAGCAGTATTGTGTAACAAGGGGTAGGCAAATTATTGCCTCTAACCCAAACATACTGGCATTTACATAATACATAAATGTAAAAGCCATTCTTACCTTTGGGCCATGGTTTGTCAACCTCTGGTGTGGTGGATAGAAAGCCAGAGTAGGAGTTAGGAAGACCTGGGTTCAAATCTAACTCTGGGACATTAACAAGCCCCCATTGATGTGGCTACTTTTCCCTCTGATTTTTTTTTTTTTTAAGCAATTGGGGTTAAGTGACTTGCCCAGGGTCACAAAGCTAGTAAGTGTCAAGTGTTTTGTCTGAGGCTGGATTTGAACTCAGGTACTCTGACTTCAGGGCCAGTGCTCTATCCACTGCGCCACCTAGCTGCCCCTCTCCCTCTGATATTTCTTTGACCCACCACTTCTTTAGGATTGTCATTT